ACAGGTGAAACAACTGACACAGGCGGAAATCACCATCCAATGGCAGAAGGTTAAGGAAAAGATGGAATTCATGCACACAAAAAAGGACCTGGGCACTGCTATCTCCCACTTTTGCGGGGAGTGGCTGGGAGGAAAAAGGGGTTTTGGGCCGGGGGGTAAGGGAGGAGGAAAGGGGGGGGTACAGATGTACCGAGGACCACCAGCTTCCTTTTCACAACTGGACATCAGTGGACCCCTCCCTCCCTACGAGACCCCTGTCCGATTTTCCCCGACCTCTTTCCTCTTCACCCGATGGCTATTGTAGAGATCTTGGGGAACGGGGAGGAGGAGTGAAGGGGGCAAGGTCCTGACTTTATCTTCTTGGCAATGTGTATGGGACACCGGACATGCGTTCTGGCATCACGCACGTCTGGTGGGGCGCTGTAGTTTCTGCAGGGTCTGGGGTTAAGGAAGGTAGTTCAGGTGGGGAGAGGTAAGCAGAGCATCACCGATGCCCCTCGGTCCTCTCTGCTGCCCCCCCCTCCCCCCTCCCCCGGCCCGGCCTCTTAGTGGGAGCGGTTCGGAGACAGTTTAAACCGGGCGAGGGCCCCTGAACTCATGTATCTTGTTTCTTATGTGTTCTCCTAAAGGGACGCTGGCCCGCTTCCCAGCACGTGCTGCTCCCCACGAATAGATCAGAGCTTCTTTGAAAAAAATAAAAATACAAAGACCATGCATTCTGTATACTGCCCATGACCGCAAAATGAACATATAGTGTTCGGATACGGAGGGTGCCTGCAGTCAGGAATGGAAGGACAGTCCTCTTCACACATGGATGCAGAAACTATGTCATTGTAGTGACTGTGACAGAGACGATGGGCTACAGCCAAGTGTAACAGTGTTTGTAGTTGTGCAAAGGAGTAGGTCGCAGAGTGTTGGTACATTGTCCTGCTGCAGCATGGGGCCAGAGGAATGATCTTCGACATAAAAGAGATTGTGGACGGTTTGGTGTGGCAAGAAAACAGCATCATTATGTAATAAATCAGTAGCATCAGTCATGGCATGGACCATGATGCCGTTGTCCCACAGCTTTCAGTGGCCAGAGGCATGTGCTATGGCCATGTAATGGCCAGGTCTGTGCACAATTCGAGCAGAGATGTGCATATCTATCTATCTATCTATCTATCTATCTATCTATCTATCTATCTATCTATCTATCTATCTATCCATATACAGAGAGAGAGAGAGAGAGAGAGAGAGAGAGAGAGAGAGAGAGAGAGAGAGAGAGAGAGA